AGGGGGGGGAGGCGAGAGAGAGGGGAAGGAGAGGAGGAACAGGAGGAACAGGAGGAACAGGAGGAACAGGAGGAACAGGAGGAACTTCCGAGTTAACCTGCTCCTCCAGGTCCTCGATCGTATCCTGCTGAGGAGGACGAAGCTAGGTCGGGCAGAAGACATCGTCCTGCCCCCCAAGGTGATCATCTTGCGCAAGGACTTCTTCGACCCCTTCGAGTCGGACTTCTACCAGAGCCTCTACACTCAGAGTCAGACTCAGTTCAACGCCTATGTCCAACAAGGCACCATCCTCAACAACTACGCGCACATCTTCGACTTGCTCATCCGCCTCCGTCAGGTTCAGAGCACACTAGTGTTCCCCTCCCGGCTCGTTCCATCCTTTTCCTCTTCGCTCACATCTCCTCTTCCCTCGAACTTCCTTCCTGTCCCCGCTCTCCCCTTCATTCCCCTTCGTCCCTCTCTCCTCTACTCTCTTCCCCTCCCCTTCGTTCCTCTCCCTTCCCCTCCCCTCCCAACTCTCCTCTCTGCTCCTCTCCTCACCTCACCACCTCTCCGCAGGCCGTCAACCATCCTTACCTTGTCCAGTACTCCGAGAAGAACTACCTCGCATCACAGGCGGCTGCAGCAGCAGGAGCAGCAGCAGGAGCTGACAGCCAGGACTCGGAGCAGTGCGGATTGTGCAAGGACGAGGCCGAGGACAAAGTCGTGTCAGCCTGCAAACACTGCTTCTGCCGCTCCTGCATAGAAGAGTACGTCGCCTCTGCTCCATGCTCCCCAGTCACCTGCCCTACCTGCGAGCAAGTCCTCTCCGTCGACCTCTCCCCGAAGGAAGCTCCTCCTACCCCCACTGCTCCTCCTCCTGCCCCCAGCAGGTCTGGCAAGGCCCCGAGGATAATGCAGAGGTTCTCAAGGTTGGACGATTTCAAGAGCAGCACCAAGATTGAGGTAACTCCTCCTCCTCGTCCTCCTCGTCCTCCTCGTCCTCCTCGTCCTCCTCGTCCTCCTTGTCCTCCTCGTCCTCGTCCTCGTCCTCGTCCTCGTCCTCGTCCTCCTCGTCCTCCTCCTCACTCTCTCCCTTCCGCCTTCTCCCCTTCCCTCCCTCCCGCTTTGTACTTCCCCTTTCCTCTTCCTCTGCCTCATTCTCCTTCTCTTGCATCTTTGGCTCCTCCTCGCCCTCCTCCTCTCCTCTCCTCCTCACTCACTCGCAGGCTCTGATGGAGGAGCTCGAGCTTCTGGTTGAGAACGACTCCTCCGCTAAGGCAATCGTCTTCTCTCAGTTCGTCTCCATGCTCGACCTCATCGCTTACCGCCTCGAGGTATCCCCGCGTTTCTTCTCCTCCTCCCCCTCCCTTCCTCCTCCTGCCTCCTCCTGCCTCCTCCTGCCTCCCTCTTCCTCCTCTCTCCCTCCTCCCCTCCTCCTCTCTCCCTCCTCCCCTCCTCCTCTCTCCTCCTCCTCCTCCTCCTCCTCCTCCTCCTCACTCTTCTCCTTCTCCTACCTGCTCCTGCTCGTCCTCCTCATCATCTTCACTCTTGTCCTCCTCCCTCTCTCCTCCCCCAGCAACAGCTGCTGCCTCCTCCTCACTCTTCTCAGCTCGCTGGCATCCGCGTCGTCAAGCTCGACGGTCGCATGACCTTCGACGCTCGGGATCGTCACATCGCTTCCTTCTGCGAGGACGCGGATACCCGTGTCTTTCTTATCTCCCTCAAGGTCCCCCACCCCCTCCTCTTCTCCCCTCCTCTCAACTCGACTCCCGGCACTGCCCCCTTCCCCCCCTCTCCTCCTGGACTCTCAGCTGGACTCCAGCTGGGTCCTCGGATTCCCCAAGTTGCTGACAGCTGAGAACAGGCTGGGGGTGTGGCGCTGAACCTGACGGTGGCGAGTGCTGTGTACATCATGGACCCTTGGTGGAACCCGGCGGTCGAGTTCCAGGCCATGGACCGGATCCACAGGCTCGGGCAGTACAAGCCGATCAAAGTTGTGAGATTCGTGATCGAGGTAGGAGGAGGGAGGAGGAGAGGAGCGGGGGGGGGAGGGGGGGGGAGAGGGAAGAGAGAGGAGGAGGAAGACAAAGAGGAGAAGGACAAGGGTGAGGATGACCAAGAGGACGAGGACAGTTAGGGAGGGGGAGAAGGCAACAACAGGAGGAGGGAAAAGTTGTGGTTGGAGCGGTTGAGGAAGCAGGAGAGGTGGGAAGAGAGGGACTGACGTATTCGGGCAGGACACAATCGAGGATCGCATCCTGAGGCTGCAGGAGAAGAAGCGACTGGTCTTCGAGAGCACCGTAGGCAGAAGTTCGGAAGCGCTAGCAAAGCTCACAGAGGCAGATATGAAATTTCTCTTCTCCTAAAATCATGCACGTTTGTCACTTCTTACTCCCTCTTGCCCTGTATCCTTCCGTCTTCTTCCTCCTCCGTTCTTGTCCTCGTTGCCCCCCCGCTGCCCCATTTCTCCCCCTCCCTCCTCCCTTTTCTTCTTCCCTCAAGCTTGCAATGACTTTTTCTCTTCGCACTCTGTTTATTCGACTACCTCACTGCAAGTTTATCCGAGGGGTCCCTTGCCGGTGATGAGGGTGTGGTGGACGATGCCTGCAGTACTCGTCACTACCCCCCTTCTCCCCACCATTTCAACCCCTCCTGCCTCCTCTCTCCCCTCCCTCCTCTCACCGGAGACGGCGAGCATAGCAAGGCGGCCGTTCTTGATCTCAGAGAGCTGCTTGCGAGCCATGCTGCCCTTGCCGAGGCCGAGGGGGTCAAAGCCGAAGTCTCCGGGGATACGCTTGGAGGAGGGGTCGTTCAACATCTCGTTCATGGCAGGCCAGCCGATGACCATCTCGAGGAAGCCGGTCCAGAGGAGGATCTGGCCCATGGAGCCCTGGAGGAGCAAGTGAGGTTGGCGCAGGGAGGAGGAAGAGGAGTGGAGTGGGGGGAGCAGGGAGAGGATCAGCAGCAGGAGTGTAGGAGGAGGGTGATTGAGGCTAGGGGAGCAGAGAGGACGAGGGAGAGCGGACCTTCTCGACAGCGAGGTTGTGGATCTCAAAGATGTCCTGCGAACTAAAATCAGCCTCCCCCTTCCCCTCCTCTTCCTCCTCAAGAACAAGTTCACCCCCCACTCATCCTCCTCCTCCACCCTCCCCTCCTCTACCTTGGTGGGTCCGAAGACAGACTCGACTCCGGGGGCCTTGATGCCGGCAGCCTCGACCATGATGCCGGCGAAGGCGAGCATGGCGATACGGCCGTGCTTGATCTCAGCCTCCCTGACGAACTTCATGTTGACCCAGGACGAGAAGCCGAAGGGATCGAAGCCTTGGTCTCCGACAGCAGTTCCGTCGAGGGAGGCGGGGCGGGGGAAGATGGGGATGATGTTAACACCCTTGCCCTGGAGGGAGCCGTCCTTGTACAACTGCATGGAGGGTCCGGTGGCACGAGCAGCACCTGAGGAGAGGGTGAGGAAGAGGAAGAGCGGGAGGAGGAGGAGGAGCAAGTGGAGGTACAAACGAGGAGAAGGCTGATTGAAAGGAGGAGCTGGACGGGGAACAAGAGGGGAGGGAGGAAGGACATCAGTTCATCACTCACGGGTAGCCCTGGGGAGCATAGCAGATGGTGCGAAGGCAGCGGCCGAAGCCAAGCATGACAACAAAGCGACGGCTCTGCAAAGAAACAAAGTAAGGAGGCAAAAGATTTTTGTCGGTGTTAGGGAAACAAGCAGCAAGATGCAAACACGAGTCAGAAGATAATGGCTTCACACAAGTGCACTGATAAGAAAACTAGGTAGTTTGTGATGTCTGAACGTGTCAACATAACATTTATGAGAGGAAAAAGAAGGAAGTAACATAACTTGTATCCAAAACAATCTTTCAGCAAAACAAGCACTCATCCTGAACTACAATCATAGATATCGCCCATCTCATCCAAGTTGAGACCACAAGAAAAAATACTACAATTCACATTGCTCTATGCAGAAAACAAGACTTCATAGGTGACGCACTTCCAAGGGCCAACTCTGTTTACAGCTCTATAAAGATCGAAACCATTTCCCTCGTTATCCTCAGAGTCTGCGCTGATCTGAAGAATTCTTTCCCTTCTCGATTCCAATATCGTCACAATCACGATCTCGTTCATAGCGTGCACAATATTCAGCTCAAAACTCATGTTTCATGTCAAGTCATCGTAAGTTCGTTCCTCTAATCTGACGTCTTGCTATCTGCCTCCAGCTTCTTCGCTTCAATATCCACATCATCACAACATCAGATACTGTCGTTTTTGCTAACATCCTCCCTCCCTCCCTCTCTACATCCTCCAATCCATCCCGTACCTCTGATCCTTGGCAGGCACAACATATCGTCCCTGATACACTCATCCTCCTGCTCCTGTTCATTCCCATTTCATCTACACATTGTGCTCGTTCTCTGCCATGTTCTCTTCTCCCACCATCTTTCTCCTCCTCCTCCTCCTCCTCCTCCTCCTATTCCTCCTCCTCCTCCTCGTCTCATCGCATCTCACCTCAGCATGATTTTCGTCTCGTCCTTGAGCCTTTGAAACTCGTAATTAATCCTTCCTTGGGTGAATGGAGGTGGTGGGGGTACACAACCTGGTATCTGAGGGAGGGTGGTGGGATATCGGGGGGTGAGAGGGGGGAAATGAGGGGGTGAGGTAGTAAATTACTACTTTTACTACCTCACCCCCTCATATCACCTCTCCCACCCCCCAATTTCCGACCACCCCTCCTCCCTGAGCTTCAGCGATCCGAACTTTAGCTCTGCTCTCAAACTTTGAAAGCTTCAAAGTTTGCAACAACCGATCGTAAAAACTTTCCGAAGTTCACGTCATTCATCAAGTTTCAGTGACTCGGACCGTCCGACGATCCGATCCGATCGGCCCGCCTGACGATCCGATGATCGCCGTGTGGCCCGTGACCGTTATAGACCGCCAGATCGGACCCGGACGGGATGCTCAGACTGAGAGTCACCGACCGTACACTGGAGTCCGGCACCGGCTGGGAGCACGGTCGGATGAAAAGAGCACTGCCAGACGGGCCGTGGCCCGGCCGCGGCGGCACTGCGCCGCGTGACTGACCGGGCCCCGGGCGCCGCGGGCCGAGTCCGAAGCAGTGTGCCGCCGCGGCCGAAACTGAACTCAGAAATGCCGTTACATCAGATGTAACCGTATTTGCTACGCACCTCTTGCGGAGGCTACCCACCAGTAGATCAGATCTAGGGTCAGTACCCCTACCCCCTTTTATACCTTTTAGTACCTACCTTTTTGACACGCACTAGTCCAACTAATGGTCAATGACCCCCTCATCGATGTCAACCCTATCACAAATCATGGAGGACCACCCTGTCTCATTAAGTCTTAGTACCCCACCATATCTTTTCAGAGTGGGTTGCAGACTCAGGAGGGGTCTGAAAATACACACTACCCCACACTTTAATAAATGATGACCTATGCACTTTCTACCCTACCCTGTGAGAAATGATCCCCACAACAAATCGCACCTACCCCCCATGACTGACAATTTTTCTATCTGAAATCCAACTCAGTACCCTCATCTGAATGTACCCCCACCCAGTTCGAGGCTACCCCTACCCCCGGCCTTGGTTCATCATCTCAACTTCAAATGGAAATGCTTCGAAGCGAACAAACGAAAGATAAAAAGGGGAGCAGAGCAGAGCAGAGCAGAGCAGAGCAGAACATAGAAGCAACAAGGCGGGTCCATCAGAGGACAGCACAGCACAGCACAGCACATGGCAAGATAAAGCTGATAGAGAAGGAATCAAACGTCAGGAGAGGATAGGAAAGGGCAAAATTGGTCAAGTCAAGAAAAGGGAGGGCAAGAGAGAAGACAAGGCCATGAAATTCCAGATGATACACGTTCAGGCATGTAGGACATTGAGAAGAGGATTTAAGAGACGAAGACGGGCTTTTCTGAAGGGCAAGATAGGCTTTGAGGCTCTAAAGTTCTGTTCTTTGACAAGGGAGGATGGAGGAAGTGAGAATCTAGAAACAAGCTAGAGTGAGAAATGATGAAGATAACTGCCAGTGGAATTTACTATATGAGCAGCTCCACAATTGTACATAGCATCCGGTTGGTAAAAGTGCAAATCGTTGTTAGAGGATGTTTCCAGGATTCGGTGGATGAGAGGAGAGGAGACCATTCGATGTTCTCTTCCACATTTAGCTTCTTGCATGCATTATACACATTGTTCATCAAAGTTGTCTATCTGTCATGCATCTCTCATTCCTGATCAGCTGCATGCAGGCTATCGACTTTGGGTATCAACAAGGGCATCTAAAGGCGCATGTCCATTAGGAGCTGAAGTTGTCGGACGCCATCGGCGAGGAAACCATGTCTTCGTGAAGTTTGATCGAGAAGTTTTCATCTACAGGCTATCGCTCCTCCTCCTCCTCCTCCTCCTCCTCCTCCTCCTCCTCCTCCTCCTCTGCTCTCGTTTGAAACTCTCGGTTGGACGGGATGGGTATCCTTCAGAAGATCCTGGACGCCCTGGGGTTCATCAAGCCGCAATGCAAAGTCTTGTGTGTCGGGTTAGACAACAGCGGGAAGTCGACGGTCATTCAGCACCTGAAGCCAACCTCACACAAGACAGAAGTGACGCCCACTGTCGGCTTCAACGTGGAGCAGTTCTCGCGCTCCAACATCAACTTCACGGTGTTCGACATGTCCGGGGCCGGCAAGTACCGCTCGCTGTGGGAGCACTACTACAAGGACGCACAGGCGATCATCTTCGTCATCGACTGCAGTGACAAGCTGAGGATGTGCGTGGTGAAGGAGGAGCTGCATGCGCTGCTCAACCATAAGGACACCAAGAGCCTGCCCACCCTCTTCTTCGCCAACAAGATCGACATCTCCGACCACCTCACCCCCGTCGAGTGTGTCCAGTACCTGGAGCTGGACGGGGTGAAGGATCGGCCATGGCATATTACACCGAGCAATGCCCTCACAGGTACTGTCAAGAGGGAGGGGGGGGGCAGCAGGGGAAATAGAAACACGAGGAGGAGAAAAGGGGAGGAGAATTGTTAGAGGGGGGCTGGGAGAGGCGGAGGGAGACGGGGGGAGAAGGAAGTGGAGTATGATGATGCTTTTCTTGTCAGGTTATGGTCTTGACGAGGGAGTGAACTGGATATCGGAACATCTTACACAGCGATCTTGAGAGGTGAGCGAGGGCGAGGGAAGTGGAGGAGAGAGGGAGGGAGGGAGGGAGTGAACGAAAGTGAGAGGTGGAGGAAAGCAGTGGGAGAGAAGGGAGGGGGTCCGGCCCAAGTCCAGCTGCCTGACTGACCTTTTCCTTTAACTGCAGTGACCCGCTGCCATCAACTTGTTTTGTACTTTAAGAGTAGAGGGTGGAAGAAGAGGCTAGCAAGTCGTCCTGACTCGATTTGAAAACAATCACGAGAATTAAATTTTGAGCTCCTCACTCTTCTCCCCTCCCGTCTGCCATCTCTCCTGCACTCCTCTTCTCTCTCTTTGCTCCCTCCCTTCCTCGCTTCTCCTCTCCTCCCCTCTCCCTCCTTCTCTCCCCTTTCTCCTCTTCCCCCTCTTCTTTCCCTCTCCCTCTCCGATACATTCCCCCCTCCCTCCCCACACGTCCCTCCATTCTTTTTCACTTCTTCCTGTCTGCTCGTATGTGCAATCTCCTTCCTCTTCCTTCCTCTCTGCCCTTTTCATCTCCCATTGCTCGCTTATTTCCTCCTGCACACGCTCCTCCTCATGGTACGAAAGTGCTGATGTTATTACGATCTACAGGGTTGCTTCTATTTCTCTGTGTACAAGAAACTTTTCGGATGCAGCCTAAAGTTGTTCGAGGTGCCCGCAGCTTTTTCCGAAGCCTGTTGACCTCTCAGCACTCCTCCCCTCCCAGCAAGACAAGCACCAGCTGCAGCTGAGCTGGAGGGATGGTCGGCGAGAGAGCAGGCGAGTTCCCAGCCGATTTCAGGCCCATCCAAGAGCTGGGGAGATGGTGAGTTTAGCGCAAGATCATAAGAGATTTCTCACGGGGATGGAAACTGCGCCTTGATGGCTGCGAACATGCTAGGAGATGTGGAAGAAGCAAGAGAGGTTCCGACATCTGACACTCGTCACGAGGAGGAGAGGAGGAGAGGAGGAGAGGAGGAGAGGAGGAGAGGAGGAGAGGAGGAGAGGAGGAGAGGAGGAGAGGAGGAGAGGAGGAGAGAAGGAGAGGAGGAGGATCAGGGGCAGGACGCTGACATACCCGACGGGAAAGTCATTCCTTGCCTCTGAGCAGGAGCTGAAGTATCGTTTTCAGTCTGACGATCGACGTCTCGCAAGCTGGGATGGGACAAGTATTGCTGCAGGCAGCGATCAGCTGCTTGCAATCAGCGCAGCTCACCTTACGTTCACTTCACCAGATGAGCTCGGGGTCTGTTCACTGGTCAGAGTAGCGCAAGGAATCAGTGCAGCAGGGCTCACGTAGGAAGGAGGAGATCTGTCGAACTGTGAGTGGTATGAGTCGAACGAGTACTCCGTCCTGTTGCACAACAACTTTCAGCTTCTGAGTTTGAGGGGTCGCCCAGTCACCGTTCAAGGTTCAGTGAGTTGTGAGAGTCGTAAGACGTGTACCCCATCTTGCTAGTCACGCTGCCCCAGTCTATCGCCACCCTGATCCTCCTATTACAAACTTCGAGCAAGCGCTGGGAACAGACCTTGCGTCTTGACTGATATCACTCTCAGAATTGCTGATGTCCCGCTCGCTCAAGATTTTGGGTGGAGGGAGGAAGCTCTCGTTCAAGGATGGGTCCACCGAGCTCGGCTCCTGCAGCTCCTCAGTTGCAACTCGAGAGAAAGAGGAGACAAGGACGCACATCTTTGTGTTCTAACATCCCAAGACCAAAGGTCTGTACAGAAGAATACTTCTTCCTCCCGTCCTGTTGCCTCATCATCAGGGCCTTGAAGAGTTGATATCATCAACGGAGGGAACCTGCAAGGCTCTATTCCGCTGATCGTCTATCCATGACTCCCCCGTAATCATGTCGTCATCCTTTCTGCCTGAAGGTTGTTGACTTGGGTTTTGCATTGGAACTTTGCTCTCAGAGTTTTCATGTCCTTCTATCATGCTGACAACGGGCCTCTGAACAAGAAGCAGCTCAGAAAATATGCTTGCAATTCCACTTGATGTTACCTGCAGCCCTTGAGGGGTTCTGTTGTCTCTCCTGAAAGAAAAACGTCAAACTCCTGCTTGACACCCTTGGCATCTCTCACATTTTTTGACTGCGGAGAAGATTCACTTTCTCTGGGGAAAAATCCTCTTGGTGGCCCAAAAGCTCTACGGAACGACAAGTGAGATCATGTAGAGACTCAAGCCTCGCCTCGCCTTCGCTTCTCTGCATCCTTTCTATTCGCTCTTCTTCCTCTTCGATCGCAGCTGCTTTTGCTAGACTGTTCCAACCGTTCAGCCAACGCAGTCATGAACATCCCAGCAGCACCTCAGCTGTAGCTGTCTCGTGTACAAGGGTCTTCGCCAGTTTGCGAGCACGAGCTTCAGGTACTGGATCGCGATAGTGACGGTGAGACTCTCGACGTTCTCGTCGCATGTCATGATCTGCAACAAGAGTCACTGTTGACATCTCGAGCCCTCGCTGACCTTGTTCTGAAGGAACTCGTTGTCGTGCTTCAGCCTCCTGACTTCTTGCAGGCATGTGCTTGCTGGTGCACCACTCAGTCAATCAAGGCGCAGGGCCCGCCAGCCGACATTCACCTATCCATTCAGAATCTGGATGTGCATTCAAGAGGCTATGCCATACGCTTCGCAGCTTGTATAATTCGCCATCTTTCTTCGAGACTATTCTCAGAAGTCTTGCGATTTGCTTGTCCTAGGATGAGAAGATGGTAAAACGTTTGACTCGTCTATGTTCCATGTTTCTGCAACCTTTACTTTCTTCGCTTCAAGAACCTCTTTTTCGAAGTCAGAAGTAATTTCCTACCGAAAGGTTCAGTTTCAGTCACGATTGACTCATGGTGTACCTGGAGTTTGAGAGGGAATTCTTTCGTGTGCAAGTAGATCTGTTTGCGGTACCTCTCATTCTCGGTGAGTAACCCCTCGTTCTGGGCTTCTAGAGTCTGAATTCTTTGCGCTGAAGTCAATCGAGTCAAACCTTGCACGAACTTCTCAAATCCAATGGAATACTTACACAAACGTTTCTCCGTGGCCTCCTTGGTAACAATCAAATCCTGACAAAAACAAATCTATGAATTCTTGTTTTCCATCGAACTCTGAATGTTTCTGACCTTCACCATTTGTAGTGCAAACTCCAAGTCCTGTACATGGTTGGTGAGACTACCGCTTGTGATAGATACCACGGATGTCTTCAAAGCTCACCTCCTGAACTACGCTCAGATCGGATGAAGCTCTCTCAATGTTTTTAAACTTCCAAGTTGTCACTCAAGCAGCCGTTTGAATCAGAGCATCTCTCACCAACTCATGTACAACATTGGACAAGACGGTGTTATGCATCTTCAATTGCTTGCCAACCTACAAACATCTGAGATCTTGTTGATGATGCAAACGCTTCATGGACCTCTTGTAACTTCCGAATATCTTTATCTTTTTCCTGATTTTCGCTAATCAAGACCGCAATCTTCTGCCCCATTCTCTGATTGCTTTCAGAGATTTCGTTCATTTCATCTTTCAGACTGTAACAAGATCTCATCAAAGTCGTCCACGAATGCAACACAAAGTCATCGACCTTGCTATTTCATTTGAGAATTCTGTCTCTTGCTTTTCGTATTCATGAAGTACAACCTTGGAATCGAAGAAGTCCGCTTTGATCTGGCACAGAATAGCGTCATCTGTCAATATTGCGCTTGGATTGAAGCAAACAACACCTTTTCCAATTCAGCTGCAAGATATTTGTTTTCGTGCTTTTGAGTTAGAAGTTCCTCCTTTACAGAATCATGGTCGACGAGACTCTTCTCTAATCTTTCCTTCTCTTCCTTCAGCTGATGTATTCGCTCTTGCATTGCTTCGTCGTCTGCTTGTTTTTCCCTTTCCAACGTCTCGATCGTCTCATTTAGTTGCTTGATTTCATTGTCTTTCGCGGTGTTTGACTTTCTGCAGAATTTCATCACGGTGAGCAAGGAAAGCATCTGCAAACCTCAAGGCGATGATTTCTTGACATGTAACTTTCAACTGCTGCTGCATGACATTGAGCTCCTTTTGGGCGGCATTGTCCACTTGGGTGGTCGAACGAGGTGTAGGGTAAACATCCAGCCCTTGCACGAGTCAGGCAGCTAAACTCCCCAAGCAATCACCTACCAGATTTGTTTCTCATGTTTTTACGCAAGTCTTTGAGCTCTTGTTCGATTCTTTCCTTGTCCTTCATCAAGGACAGATTCTCCGAGACCATCTCTTCGTACATGATCTGAGAAACCTTCAACCTGTTATGAAGTGACCTCAGTCTGTCCTTCACTCTCTGCTCTGAGCCCTCCATCGACATCTCAGTCTGATTCGGAACCTCGTGCTCTGGCACCAGCATCTTTGATGTGTATGTCTTTTCCAGCACATCTACATCCAGACTTGGTTCGTTGTCGACCCTCCTCACACTTCCCTTCTCGACTTCTCTCCCACCATTCTGATGCACCTTCTCGTTTTCATGCTGCTCGTCGCCTGGAGAACCATTGGCAGGCGCATGGATGAATGAAAGCTCTGACGCTTGGAAAGAGGTCGAAGGGGACAAGAGATTGAAGTCTTGCTTCCCGGGAGAAGGAGAATGGTGTTGAGATACCGGGGTCTGCATGCCAACTGTGTCTTCTCCTTCTCCGTGAAGAATTTTGTTGGGTTGCGGTGAAATTCGAAGAGGGAACTGGACTGGAGAGCTTGCAGAAGGAGGGGAGAGAGGGGAGCTAGAGGAAGCAGCGGCAGGGGAGCGGGAGAGGAGGGAGGGAGGAACGGAGGAGACGCCTGCAGCATGTCGATCCGCGACTGCAAGGAGGACAACGAAGCCATGAAAGCAGCAGGGGAGGGGGGGGGCGGGCCGATGTGAGGGAATCCAGCCGGTACTAGCGAATACCCGCCCAAGTCACTACTATGGAGGGGGTAGGGGTGATGACCCATCGTGACCCAGATGAAATGAGGGGTATTTCGTGAGGAATGGAGGGGTATATAATGGACTACCTGGGTCATATATATATAACAGGGGGGTGGGGTGGGTGGTATTGGAAATCCCGAAGTCACAGTCCTTCTGGTCCTCATCCCCACTCATTCCCCTCTCAGTCTCTGAGCCTCCTGCTGAGCCTCAGCGGAGGAGTACTACGCCCGGGCCTGCTACGGCCCAGCTACGGCCGGGCAGACTACCGGGCCTCAGTCAGTCCGAATACCGCGGCCAGCTAAACGATTACTGTTACTTCTTTACTCAAAGTTAATTCAAAAATCAGTATGAGGACATTCAGGCTAGTACACAAGTTGCCATTTCAACACTCGTCACCTACCTCCTAGCCCTGACCGTAACTCGAGCCCCGCTCGGCTTCAGCGTCATGGCGAAAATTTGTGTCGGCTCCTGGTAGACGATAAAGGATGTGAGAAGCGGCAGGAAGCTGATGAGCCGGAGAGGAGACAGAAGGCAAAGGGCAGAGGGCAAGGGGCAACTTTCAAGAGGAGAACAACCTTGACGAGGGTGAACTCGTATTTCTGGAGCATGTAGGCAAGCACCTGCCACGTCATCAGCGACCAGACTCTTCGACGTCAAACACCCGGACCAGCTTGAGCTCCAACATCGCCAGGTTCTCCCCTATGCACCTACGGAGACGACTCAGGGACTCTTCCTCCCATCGTGTGAAAAGGAGGAGGAAGAGGTGGTGGTGGTGGTGATGGTGTTGTTGTTGTTGGAGGAGAGAACCTTCGTAACCCCTTGCTAAATGGACGGAAAATCTTCTTCAACTGCCTTCATGTCAAGGTCGGGGGGTCAAGGTCGGGGACTCGCCTGCTGAATCTCGGGATCCGTCTCGAACCACCTGGGGGTCAGGTGGAGGTGAGATGAGGAGGGAGGGAAAGAGATGGGGTCACCTCTCTGGGATGAACTCGTCCGGTCGTGAGATTCCTGCGATCAAGAATCGAGGATCAAGAGGATGGAGGAGGGAGGAGGAAGGAGGAAAAGGAAGGTAGGGAGGAGGGAGGAGGGAAGAAAGAGAGACGAGACAGTTGAAAGGAAGTAGAGAGGGAGAAGGGAGGGAGCAGCGAAGCAAGGAGGGGGGAGGGAGGCGATGGAGGCGGGTAGAATGTAGAGGACCATGGCGGTGGAGCGAGTAGTTCGAAATTGCACAGACGGAGCCTTTAGGGATGACAACTGTCACGACGTCAAGCTTGATATCAGGGGGTTGCTCATGAAGACATTTGCCAAAATCCAAGTCGGCGATGGCGACGCGGATCGACGAGGTAGGAGCAACCTGTGGGGATTTGTAAGGCTGGAAGGAGGAGGGGGAGAGGAGAGAAGAAGGAGTAGTAGGAGGAGGAGGAGGTGGAGACGGAAGGGCAGGGGCAGGGGCAGGGGAAGGACCAGGGTGAAGATGAGTACGAGGAAGACGAGGGGGAGCGGGAGCAGGCAGGCAGGGGAAGTAGAAGGAGAAGGGGAAGGACAGACCGGATGTAACCGCATCCCTTCCTTGACTACACAGTCAAGGTAGTGCAGCGAGCTTTGAGGCACGACGATTACGACGAAGATGACAATGACAATGACAATGATTGATGTGTTGTCGGAAAAGGTGAAGGAGGAGAGAAATTCAGGATGAGGAATGGGATGAGTGGAAAAATGGTTCACAGTGGGGAGGAGTGAATAGTGAGGAGGATGAGGATGAGGATGACAGGAGCAAACCAGGGAGGCAGGAGGAACGGGAAAATAAGCGAAAGATTGAGATGTCAGTCACCGGTCACAGAACAGCAGAGGTCGAGGTCTCACCTCAGCTTCTCCTTGTGCATGAAACCGTTCTCGGGGTTCGCTTTGTTGAGCTCCTCCTGAAGGAGACTGGTTGAGAGGAGGAAGACAGGAGGAGATCGAGCAGACAAGGAGGAAGGAGAGGAGGAGAGCGGGGGAGGAGTGAGGGAGGAGGAGCAAGAGACGAGGAGCGGGAGAAGAGAAGTAGGAAGGAGAAGAGACGGGCTGGAGGGTCTAGCGAGAAAGTTGATCCTCACCACCACCAAGGAGGCGACTCGAGGGTTTTTCGCCACCTCGACGAGAATCCAGCTGAGCTGAGAAGCGCAAAGTAGCGATCAGCCACGAGCTCGGGGACTGCAGGAAGGATGATCACGCTGAATGCGGTGGTGTCGTGGCCGGCCAGGAGAAAGATCATGACGTCGGTGCATCGCTCCCTGCCAGCACACGAGGGTCATGCTGCCGTTTCAAGAGCTGCAACTGCCGTTGCCTGCTCGAGTAGTAGGGGGCCCGCACGAGATGGCCTGCGGGCAGTCAAAACTTTCCTCGCTGATCCCAAAGCACCCCACCTATGATAGAGTGATCGTCTCTCTTGGTCCCGGATTTGCTGAACTTGTCCAAAATTTTCTTGCCATCACATGTCAGGTCGGAGTGCGATCGGACCTACAGTAGCACCATCCCGATATCAGCGATGTGTTTACGCGCCTCCAGGCTTTCTCTCATTGATTTGCTGAAATATGACAAAAACGAAATCTGTGGCCCAATCTGCAGCACCAATCAGGTGACATTGCGGTCTGAGGATCATACACATAAACAATGTCTCTTACGTAATTTCTCGTTCTCTCGCGTATCACTGTCTGAAAGGCTCGAAGAAACTTCGTTCCATCAGCTTTATCTCCACCGAACACCTGGAAGTTTGCTGAGTTCATAAAACATCATAACCTTGCGCGTTTGGTATCAATCACCTCGTCCAAACTATTGAGATCAAAATCAAACATACTGGAGCAGATAAAGTCCAGCGTCAATCTCAACTGATCACGAACAAAGCTTTCATCAGCAACTCATGACATAACACCAATCTCTTCATGATCACCAGAAACTCGCTCAGATCCATATCCTGCCCCAACTCATCATACTTGTCCAGGCAAAGCTTTGCCTTCTTCATCGTTCTATCAAGGCACTCCAGCTTCTCCGACAGGTAGTTGGTAGCAAACGCTGGAGCCATAGCCTTTCTCGCCCAGTACCAGCCGTTGACAGGCCCTTCGCTGTATGTTGCCTTGCTGATCATGGAGGGAGTAGGAAGGAACGACTCAAAGAAGCTCTGGTAGACAGGAAGGAATTTGTCTGATTCTGGAATGTTCTTCTGCGGATCCCCCTCCGTGACAACTTTGGCGACGTCTGGGTCTGAGATGACAACGAGAAGTCTGGGTATGACGAAAGGTATAATGATCACTGGGCCGTACTTCTTGAAGTACTCATATTGCTGCGTGACATGTCATGTGCTGATCTATACAAGATCATCTGCAAGAGCTTACATAGAGTGGAAATCGAGCTTCCTTGCTCAGATGCCGCAGCGATTCAAACCTTCCCACAGGCACCACAGGAGGAAGATTGTACCTGTGGGGAAATAGAATGAACCTGCCTTGCCCGAAAACAATCCATCTGCCAATCTGCAAGATTTTCCAACTTGCGTATGCAACGAGAGTCGTTGAGAGTAATCTCACTATCTTGACGCTCGTCCTTGAGTCGCCGAGGACAAGTTGCAACATTGCAAAGTAGTCAGAGAAAGAGCAATGCTTGCTCCTGTGATGAAATGTCAAAGTGAGAAAAAGCGGATGAAATGCCTGAAATTCCTTTGATCTGGTGAAGAGGGGGGAACATGAATTGGAACGGGAAGATGAATTGGAATCGCTTGACAGTTACAGTCAGAAATCAACAGGGCGATGTGAGGAGAATTGGCGTGAACGCCAGGTGAGGAAACATTGGACAATGCAGAAGATGACTGCAATTCGAGATAATGCCGAAGATGAAAATGATCGATGTGAGGATGGGAAAAAGAGATATTGATGACGGCAGTGGCTGTGGGAGAGGCGACGATGAGGAGAAAGTCGATTGAAAGGAGATGATAATGAAAATGAATGGATGGACGGATGGATGGATGGATGGATGGATGCTGCTGCTGCTGCTGCTGCTGCTGCTGATGATGATGATGATGATGATGATGATGATGATGATGATGATGATGGAGATGATGATGATGATGGAGATGATGATGATGATGATGGAGATGATGATGATG